ATATATACATTCATCTTCAGAATAATTGGTCAGTTACTCTGTTACTGATAGTAATAGCCCCACTCTTTACTGACTCTCAAACCTTTATTACTATTCTCAGTACAATACATATGCTAGCATCCAAAAGTTTTCAGACACCTATTCATCCACTGTTTCTTCTGAAATCAAGGGTATTAATGAGGAGGTTGTCTGCCTGTGCTGCAGTAACAGCTTTTACTCTTCTGGGAAGGTTTTACGTTATGTTGGAACATTGCTGTGAGGATTTAAATCCATTTAGCCAAAAGAACATTAGTGAGGTAAGCTACTAATATTGGATAATTGGTTCTGGATCACAAACACCACTCTAACTCATCCCAAAGGTATTAGATGGAGGTCCGTCACTTGAGAGAACACAGTAAATTTAAGATTCAGAGTTTTATCTCTTTAGTATGATGTTATTTCTTTATAAAGTTGAATGCTGTAATGGTAGTTGAATTGAGAATCCTCAGTTAAACTCTTAACAGTTTGCACATTCAGTCTGCTATACCATTACCACACCACTTTTCACTAAAATGTGTGTAAACACCTTAAATGTGTTGATTCCATAGGTTTGCTCTCTTTCCATTTGAAAATACCAGCCACTCTTTACACTGCACAAACATTTAATGATGAATAAACCATTAGGCAATTAATTAGATTAAAATATTGTTACATAAATGTATACAGTACTGTGCAGAATTCAGAAACCACGTTTCATTCTTTTAAATTAGACAAAAAAAAAACATTTGTTTATTAAACAAAGAAGCTGCTGGTGTTCTCAGAACAAAGGACTGACCACTCCAGACCTCTACATCACTGAATGTGTTTGGGATTATCTGGATTTTGAGAAGGAGAAAATACAACTTCTAAGACGGAACTTTGGAGGTGTGAAAACTGATCCCTACAGATTTTGAAAAACTGAAAGCAAATCTGCTGAAAAGAATGGAAGCTGTGATAAAGGCAGATGGTTCAGTTTAGTTCTGGAGTACCTTTATGCTTTTTTCAGATGCTAAAAATGAATAACTCATGAAATGATCTGCACCTTTGAATCAAGTGAATTCAATGCATCACTTTTTACAGCGCATTGCTGCAGTGGGCATGCTGGCTTAACATGGCTTCCACACCGGCCGTGCTTTCTTGTAAGGGATTAGGAGCAGTTGTGGTCAGATTGAAATTCCTGGGCCTTCAGCACATCCTGTTTTGCTTGAACAGCAGCGAGCCATTGTTACAGTGCAGCTACGGTGCACCTGTCCCCCCAGCTCACAACCAGCTGTGACACCCCAGCTGTTGTCATGGCGACAGAACAGCGCCAGAAAGCGGTTGTGATTGGTGTAAGAGCGAAGCTGAAGTACAAAACTCAGCAGTGCTTCTGCTGATTCCTGTAATACAGCAGGTGTGTGTGTGTGTGTGTGTGTGAGAGAGAGACGTAACACACCCTGTGATGCAGGTGTTTGTATTTGTGAGGATTTGGAAAGAGAGAGAGAGAGAGAGAGATAGGGAGAGAGGGAGAGAGAGGGAGAGAGGTCTAAGAGAAAAGCAGAAGCACTGGGAGCATGGCCTCTTAGGGAGAGATAGAGGTTTGAAGGAAAAGAAAACATTGCTCATCTGGTGCGTAAGCTTGTTTAATGGAAAGAGGGAGAGCAAGTGCGTGTTTATCTTAGAAAGAGAGGGAGCATTCTGGAGTGTTTATAGAAGAAAGGGACGGGGTAGGGGGAGAGAGAGAGAGAGAGAGGGTGGGGGATAGTGGAGAGGTAGAACCACTATCCCCCTAAATCACATCACACCGCACATTTGTGTGTGTGTGTGTGTGTGTGTGTGTGTGTGTGTGTGTCTGTCTGTCTCACAGGGCCTGTTTCCTCTTGAGTAGCCTTCAAACTCTGACAGTCATGTCCCTCCTCCGTGGTGAACTGCGAGAAAGAGACAGAGAGAGAGAGAAATAAGTAGAGAAATGACTAAATGGCTTCATGAAAACAGAAGCGTCCTCTAGAGACACATGTGTAGCCTTAAAAGGCTAAATTCTTCACCTCTCTATTGACTTTCACTCATCACTATTCTCAGTAGTGCAAAGTATTGAAAGCTGTTATTCTGGCATATCTGTGATAAGTTTAGTGTCTTATCCCTCAATTCATGCTGGCTTCATTAAAAGGAAAAAAGATTTTTCAGACTTTCTGCATAATTCCATCATTGAGATGTCAACAAAGTCATTCAGGGTGGTTTGATGTAAAATGGTGCGCTGTAGAAGAAAGAATGCATCAGATGCAAATGTTACCATGTCTACAATGCAAATATAGACATTTTATTTACTACTCAAAATGACCAGTGAATCTACATGTCTTCTGAGTATATATTATGATAATAATGGTAAAATTATGGTAAATCTGAAAATAGAAGTTTTCTTTAAGAACTGTTTTACCTCACAATATCCTACATGTATCTCTCCACCTTTAATGGAGTTTTGAAAATATGTTTGCAGCCAAAATCTTATCTCAACTATGGAAAAACAATGTCTCGGACATCAGGCAGCATATTCCTAGCCATTTCATGTAATAACTTTCTGTGAGTGTGCTTTTATAGGCATTTAACTCTTCAGACGTCTGATTTCTAGCAACACCACTTATTACTGTCAACGGTCTCACTTCATTCGGATAGTCTACTATAGTGCCCTACAGATTTTATACAGATGTTCAAGTTGTTAACAGAATAACTGTTGAAACTCAGTTGATTCTAAATAGTGGTGGGGTTAGAGTTAGGATTTGGACCAGGGTTAGGGCTAGGACTAGGGTAAGGGTTGGGTTTAGGTTTTAGGTTGAGAGTAAGGTTAGGGTTAGCCAGGTTTAGAGTTAAAAAAAATTATGGTCAATTAAGTAGACAGTAAATTAAGTATCTACATAGCAACTAAAATGGATTATCCAAATATCCAAAGTGTTACCCTGTCAACCTCCTAAATTAAAACTCAGAAGACACATGGTGGTTCTGGATAGTAAGTATAATGGCTGTATTTGCATTGTAGACATTGTGAACCCTGGTTCCTATCACCTCCACTGTAAAGACATCAGAGAGTAATTTTTTGTACAGTGAATCAAAAAGTGAGTCATGCAGATTTTTGGAAAAACTGGTGGAATTCCCCTTTAAGGTCCATCTACGATGAAACTGAGAGAGAACTGGTGTTGACTGAGAGCAATGAATGTGTTAAAATGGAGGAACTTTCATAAACATCAGAATGTTAAGAGTTTTTTGGGACTGCTAAATGCACTCAGTCATCAAGTGTTGAGTGAAGGAGGTTGAAAGCATTTAGCACTCCCATGAAAACTTCAACATTCCTGCTGCTTTTAAAAACCTCCTTCATTGTAACACATTCAGTCTGTTCTCAGTTAGGCATAGCAGCACACTATTTCTCTATCACTATCACCATATATACACCTTAAGTGTGTTCTCCTCAGTGCTGTCCCACACAGACCAGAGGGAGAGTGTGAGAGATGTAGAGATGGAGATAAAGAGAGGAATGTGCTGTAGATGTGAGGCCTCTGCTGATAGTGGATGAGGTGGAGATGAAGTGAAGCTTTTGAAGGATTTGGCTTACAGCTCTCACTATTCATTTGTCCTACATTATCCATCACCTTATTACTCAAAGCAATTACAACAGACAGAGCCCAGCATTACAGGCCAGATTGGTCTGTGCCATTGGACGTGGCGCAGTGTCCACCACAAGACTTTGATCTTTACTCTGAGCGTGTGTGTAGAGCACACTGGGGTGTGTTGGCAGAGTTTGTAATCGTTTTATTTTCCCTCACTGTTTTATGATACTCTTCTGGGTTTCCAGAACATTGAAGAACATTAACATCCGATTTTACTCTGATTAATTATTATATTGTCTACTCATGATGAATTATTATATTGTCTACTCATGATTCATTCAGCATAACATGTGTCATTTTAAGTAGAATTCCCTGCGGCAATGTTCTTTTAAGGCTCTCAGTTCACAACTCCTATTGTGTGTCACATGATTGAGCACGAGGATCTGTCTGTTTTTCCTCAGGCTTTCTTTCAGCTTCATGAGAAACCTGATTCAGCTACTGCTGATGTGTCTTTTTTCACAAAGTGGTCTGTCTGTCTTAGAGTCTAACTGATATGAACATGTGGCAGATACTGATTTTAGGAGGCTAAAATTGTGATAACATCAGCAGAAAAAAACAATATAATCAACAATAAAAACAGAACATAACAGTTTCAAATAGCAAAACAGAACAGAACAGTTCTGTTCTTGACAGTTCTTGACTGTTGCATCATGCTAAAAATTTCAAGTACATTTTGCATGTTTTTGTAATTGTAGCCTCTTTCTGCTGGCAGAATGGAAATTGACTCTGATTTTTAAAAATTAATTCAGTCAAATAAAATATTTTTACTTGTTATCAGTTTAACAAGGGCACTGTTGGCTCTCTATTTTTGAATTTGTTTTATGTGTTGAGCTGCTTGTGAGCAATATGGGAGCCTTTTGATATGAAAATAATTCACACTTCTCCACAAAGATGTCCATGGCAGCATAAAACAGACAGCACAACTGCAGCTTTCTTGATATCAAAAAGGTTGTGGACATAATAAAAAATATCATTTTATCAACAATTTAATAAATGTGATTTGCAAAATCTAGTAATCATACACATTGCCATCAAAATATATTTCATCTTCAGTATATTGGACCTTCAAAACTGATATGGCTACTGTAAAATGAAGTTTATAAAAACCAGCATGTGAGCACATAATCAACCAAAGTCAATTAAATTCAAACCTAATTCTCACATCAGAGGCACCTGTTTAATAAACCACTAGTTATTGGTGCTTTATTGGCGGGTTTTTGTCGATACCAGTAGTCTTTGAGAAGTCAAGATCAGCCTATCAGTCAGGTTCTAGTTTGACTCTACAGTAGCAATAGTATCTTTGTACCTTTGCTAACCTTTCAGTTTGTTTTTGTGTTTGTTCTCCAGATTAGAAGAATGTGGTAGGACTGTTGGGACCTCGTAGTGGAGACAAGGGAAAACATCAAAGTGTGTGAGTGTGAGAGCGTTCCGGCTGTTCTGAAGAGAGGGGGGGTGAACTTCAGGTGCCCACCCCTCCAGGGTGAGCTTGACTTCGTGGCAATGATGAGTCGCGATGTGGCATGGCTGTCCTGCCTGCATCTGCTGTGTGGCATGTCCAGCCTGTGGGCGTATCCTTTCAGACCCCCATTGGACCTGGACATCACTCCCAGAACCACTGTCCTCTCAAACGGTAAGACCCTCTGACCCCATCCCTCAACAGAGAGTAATTCATATTTACACATATTCACTCATATTTTGGGCGGTCAGTAGTGACAGCGCTGATATAGATGTTGGAGGTGTGTGTGTGTGTGTGTGTGTTGTGACGCATTGATTTGAGGGTGGCAAATGCATTGATTTTGGAACGTTATAATAAATGATAATTGTTTATAGTAATTTTCAGACATCTAAGCACTGGCCCTATTGTTGGGAGATCTCCAGACATGACACAGCCATCCGTAGTTGGGAGACCAAGAGAGCATATTTGGTCTCGCTGTAGGATAGTCCCCTTCACTCATGCTAGCTAGCTTGTGCATCTGTTGGCTGATGTAAAAGAATTAGCAGCTATTGTTCTCCTCTAAGTTAGTTAGGAGATGTCCAATGATGTTGCATTAATGACAATTTGAAAAGATGCAGTGTTTCCTGGTAGAACCATGCAATAGGGGGAGACCTTGCGAGCAGTGGAATTGGACACGGAATAATCGTGAGAAAAACTGGGCAAAAATATTAAAAATCTATTACAAATAAAAATAAAAAATGAACAAAAAGTCTGCATGAAATTGTGGTGCATTTTGAGATTTCATGATGCATTGAATCATCTCCTAAAGAATCGTAATCAAACCATATTGTTGTGAGGTTGCAAGCACCCCTGTCTTGTGTGCATGTGTGATTTTGTATGCAAGTGAGTGCATGTAGTCTTATCTTACTATCATCCGTCTCAGATAGTCACTGCACATGCCTCACTCTCCAGCAAAACTTTGCCTTCTTTTGGAATGTGAGTTTTTTTCTGTTCAGGTAAGTAAGAAAAAAATGCCTACAAAGATTTTGTTAACATAAAACAGCTCTTTACTAATATTTATATTCAGGCCTGGATCATCAGGTTATGGGCCATTGGGCATAAATGTTTGGTGAGCCCTTACCTTGCTGCCTTTCTTGGGTGGTCAGTGATTTGTTATGATATCAGAGCAAGTTAAAGAAGGCCCATGCAGCACCACAATGGCAACATACTAACTGCAGTGTTGGCACGTCACCACTATTGAAACAAAACAGTATTAAGATTATAATGAGATCACAGGTTAACATAAACCCAATAAACAATGCAACATTTCCATATAAAGCATGCATTTGTTCTTGACAAGCAAAACATTAGCCCCAATGAAGCTGATAAAAATTACAATCTGACACCTGAAATGTGCATAAAGATGAAAAAAAGCAGCAAACTTAAAACCCACACTGTCAAGCAGCTTAGATAAATTATACTGCCGCAGCAGGTGTGGAAATGTTTTGGGTTTTTTTGCATTATATCTTACCTCTGATGACACAGAAAGCTTGAGCGAGATAATGAAGGATATCGTAACAGTTACTAAGCAGTGATTGGAGGAAAAGATGTGGAGAGCGTCAAGATTATGATCGGCCGTAACACAAAATTACATTGTGTCCTAACAGCAAGTGAATGTTCAAATGTAGTATCGCATTGCATCACAAGACCTGCAGGTTGTCTACACTGGAAACTCCAGTGTGCGTCAAAACGTAAACAAACCACAGACCTATCAAAAGACAGCTGATTTACTGACAGAGCTGTCTAGCTGTGGTTTGGGGCATGTATTTAATAGAGTTTGTAACAAGTTACATTTTATACCCACATTTAACACCAGTAGCCTAACTTACATAGCTAAAATAGCATTATACCGCCATGGTGGTGGGCAGCTCATTTATGCTAACTTGTATCTACTTAGCTAACCTAACTAGTTATCTAACACAAAATAAATGATATTCACTTCTAACTTCTAGTGCTCAGATCCCTCTCTTCTCCACTTCATGGAAGATTTTCTCCTCATCCATTTTAAGTTGGAATTTCAGAGCAAAAAAGAAACAAGGTGTCTGTTAAAAACTGTGCGTCGCATCTCAAAGTAAAAACAGCTTCTTAGATCTCTCTCATTTCTCATAGTTGCTTGCGGAGGGGCCCCCTAGTGGCACACGCCCATGAAACCCATTGAATGATCCGGACTGGTATATTTTGCAAAAATTAGTTCAAACTTTACACCACTCTTTTGATGGGCGGTGTGCATGAGCCTTTATACAAAAGAAGCCATGCAATGTTGCAATACCCCCTTTTTTCCAGAAGGAAAGTAGCTTTATGTTGCATACTCCTGCTCCACTGAGGCTTAGTTTTTGGCAGAAATGTAAAAGGCAGATGCAGAGGAGCAGCTTGGCAGGGTTAAGTGAAGAGGAGTGGGCTTACACACAGTTTATAGCCAGCTTTCACTCTCAAAACAGTATCGTTTATGCAAAGATCATCTTGCTAGCTTTAGGTTTATGTCCGTTAATAACTCTAACACTGACAGCACTCTTCCACATGCCCTGTGGTGTATAGAGCAGCAGAGGCTCTGGCGAAAGACATTAGGAGCCGACTCAAAGTTGCCTTTTATCTCCTGTGCGGAGTTATACAAGCACGGAGAGGCCAGGATGTCAAGAGTCCCGAGGCGCATGTTCAGCTTGTAAACACGCGGCAAGAGCACAGGGTCCGCTCTCCGAGGCCCGTCGTGCTCAGCCCTCGCAGGGCACCGAGCCAGAGGAGAGGAGAGTTACAGCACAGTCTCGGAGTGGAGGAGCAGCTAGAGGCTTCACTAAACACACGGCACTACTGCTCTCAGTCTGCAGACATGAAGAGGAGCTCACACACTTCCACTGCTGATGTGCATCACTTCTAATATAGAATATTTTATGATGACTAAAGACTTGCATATCTAGCTTAGCAAAGCTAAACTGCTGTGTATGTTTTTGCAGCATCCACAAATGTTTGGAACAGATGGACAACAGATTTACATGTTTCTAGTCTCTCAGCATTGAGTAATGACTCTGTTGACGAGCATGGTGTAGGTTACTGTTCAAAAGTTTGGAATCACTTGTCATTAGGGCTAGGGCTGCAGCATATTCGATAATATTCAAAAATAGAAAAGCTATTCGAATCATCAACAGGTTTACCACTTTTATGAACGCAGGCACTTCTGTGGGGAAACAAGCATTTATCAGGCCAAATACTAGCTTCTCACCAGTAGCACGTAGCTGCAGCTTTTCACACTGGACTCAATGTGGACTCCTTGTGATTTGGCACAGTTTGCGAGACTCTCGCAATTATAGGCGACAGTATCGGTTTTATCTCCAGGTTCAGTCCAAATAAACCCTTATTCTTGAGACTGATGCTAGCTGGCTAGCAGGCTCTCATTTGTGCTTATTACACAGAATACACGTGAGTGTGCTGGCTAGCGAGCTGTCCAGAGCTGTAAGAAAATTAAAGCTGTTAAAGGAGCAATGTGTAAGATGACACAAACTGTCAAATTCATACTCCACACTTCAAAGAAATAGGGGGCAAAATATCACCAGAAAGTTGTGATGTCCACCCCATCGTAAGAAACAAGGAAATGCACAGTTCCTCCTCTTCCTCCTCCCTCTTCACTCCTCCTCCTCCTTACCAGTCTAGAAGAAACATTGCAAGTCAAACTTTATATCTTTACTTGTCAACACCAATGTTAACACTTTCTATTTATGTCACTTTTTTATTTGCTGCCAAATGTGTTTTTATTGCGGTAAGTGCGTGGCGGTGCTCCAGAGGACCAACAGGGTGAACTGATTTGCTACAGCGCCACCCTGAGACAGACCGGTGCTGCATAGTTAGTTATAAATATTAAAGACAGAAGCTCGACAGTCATGAAGTAAGATAAATAATGACCTTTCTCTGAATTTGTACTGTAGTATCTATTTCTCTGTAACGAACAGTGTAACTTCATAATAAGTTTGTTTTCAGGGACCCCCCAGAATTTTAATTTTGAGACATTCAGGGGGTCCAAAAGATTAATTAGGGGGTCTTGGATCCCTCAGGACCCCCTGTATTTCGCACCTTGTCTCTGCACCGTGAATGCGCTGTAAAACAAATGTTAACCACAACTTAATTTCAAAACTAAATATCAAACAAGACGTTAGACTGTGAGTGTATTCTTACCCATTTTGTGTAATAGCTTTCTGTGAGGTGGTTTTTAGAGGTGTTAAATGTTTCAGAAGTCTGGTCCTTATCACGACCACTGAGAACAATTCTGACTAAGTTTCTGTAGGACAGAACATTTCACATCAAATCACATCTTAAACATTTAATCATTTAGAAATTTGGAAAAAAATGGTGGAATTCCCCTTTAATGTCCTCACTGATATTCTAAAATGAGGAATAGTTCCACATTCTTTGAGTAGGTGTGCCTAAATGTCCAACTAGTGTATCTGCAACTACAAATAAAAGCCATGTTTTCAAATTGACACAGTGATTGTGTATGTTGTTATGATGATCCGAAACCCTTGGCTCTGGGTTTAGCTTTGTGAACTGCCTTGTATGTTTTTGCACCATCCACAAATGTTCACGCATGATCACGGTCTTGTGAGTGATGATAGTACTGACGTAAGTGATGTGTGTGTTTGTATGCAAGTGTATGTAATCTTATCTTACTATCATTCATCTCAGATCTGCCCACGCTCTGCCCTTCTCCATCTTTCTCACCTCCTTCACAAGCACGTATTCACTCTATTCATACCAGCCTTTACCTTGGATAAATCTATTCTTTGGGTTACTTAGCAACTTCTGCGACACTTAAAAGCATCACATGGGGCGAGCGAGGTGACCAGGCCCCGTCCCTCTCCACCTCCCACATTTAATCATTTCATTTAGTGGCCCTGTGTGCTTAGATAAGAGGAGCTGTGCGAGGAAAGAGAGACATCAATTACTGTAATGAGTACATTGAACTTCTGCTCACTCAGAGAGTGAGAGGGAGAGTGAGAGAGAGAAAATGGTTGTTCTTGTTATATCATTATACCAATGTACACTGATTTACGCATTTTATCAGGTACACACACCGTATAGATGCAGTTTGTAAGTACACAATTGACCTAAAAACGCTCTGCACACATATGCATTCTTTTGAACAAGCAACA